ATAAACATTTAAATATAATATAAATTAATAAATTATAAATAGAGTGCCTATACGTAATTAAGATTAGGTACTATAGGTAGGTACCCACTAGATAAATATTAAGTGATTACCTATATTATGACTTCATCTACTCGCAATTTAATCTCGCATTAATTATTACCAGCTACAGTTATTTTAGGAGGAACCTATGGGTACACAATTTACAGCCGACATTCTATTCATGATTAATTTAAAAATGACAAAGTGAAACCATCTTTTGAATACCATTTGTGTATATAGGTAGGTATTTGATTTTAAATAGAATATTACACATACGTATTCTTATTTCTTTTAGATTACGGGTAATCATTAATCAACAAAATCAATTTATCATAACTTCAAGCCATAATTATTACGTCATCAAACCTCTATCGTATAATTAATGTCTATAGTTATACTTTTATTATAGGTACCACTATAAAGATGAATCTATACAGTAACTATTATATTATGCTATTATTATATTATTATATTATATTATATTATTATATTATATTATATAAAAAAAAAATAATATGTATACTTATTATGTGACCACGTCATTATATAATACTAAATACATCATGCTGAAATAAATAAAATATTTAAGGGGTATGAATACCGGCCGTTTCTAAGGAGTAGAATATAGGAAATTTCCTATTTATGTGTATGCGGGTCGTGTAAATGTGTACCTACGTAGTAAGTGATCTTTAGGGGCGGCGCTAAGGGGGGGGGGGGGCAAGGGTGACTGCCCCCCACGATAAGTTCTCGCCCTTCTCTTGCCCAACCCCCCAGATATTTTAATTCCTATTTTTAAGATATTTTGTTTTCAACGTCCAATATTAAGCTCTAAAACTTTTGATATTTTACTATTTTTGAATTTGAATTATGGAGTTCAGTAATTTCAATTTTCAGCATTTAAAATTAATATATATATATCGAAAATTGACTTCTATACAGGCACAGATTAACTTCTCTTCTACAGTTCTACAATATTGAACATTACTCTCAAACCGCTCAATAATAACCATATTATTGGAAATACAAATATGCATTTTCATAGAATATTCAATACAGAATATACCCCTTACCTCTTAAATTGAAACGCAAGTGCGATCGGTTACAATTTTTTTAGTTTTTTTTTTCTATAAATATCAATTAAGTTTTATCTGTTGGGAAAAAAGTGTAAAAATTTAATACAAGGCTCCTGATATATTGATACAATATCAGTTGAAAAATATTAAAATACCTAGCCACAATTTTTTTTATAAGCGTTTAAAGATCGAATTTTGACAAAATGTATCAAATTGAAAATTGAATGATAATTTTGTAGTTAAAAATTTATAAAATGTTCAACTTTTATATCTAAATTCTAAAGATTGAAAATTTAAAACAAGATTCCACGTAACTAATTAATTCTGTCACCAAAAAATCTAAAAAAATACATACCCACAGTTTATTTTTATAGTCATTTTAAGTTCAAATTTGGACGAAATTACATAATAAAAAACCTAGAATAACTATTTTAGTTGTTTTGTTGTGATTGTATAATATTATTCGTGGGTACTTGAAACTTGTAAAGTACACTATTATATATCTATGATAGTATCAGGGTTTGTTGTTGATGTATAACGCGTTATAAGTACCTAATGGATATTGTGATATGATTAATTTGAAATTTATTATAGGTACCTAACCTAACCTATTATAGGTCAATTTTTTTTGATACCATAGATTTGTATATAATATTTCTTATACCTAGACTGACATACCATCTCCTCTCAGAATCGTTTTGCTTATACAATGATATTATATCATTAAATTCAAATTTAATATCATCCATTATCCAGTGACCCACTTGTACCCTACTGTACGGCAGAGCGACACCCACTTGCCCACCTTTTTTCTACTTGAAAAGTTGAGAAGTTGAAGTTGTAGGTACTTACAAACATTTTCAAACACCTTAGTAGGTACCTCACCAAAAAGTCTAAAATTATTAGACTAGACAAAATAAAAAAAAATTGTAATTAAATGCCAACCCCGCTCCCCTACCATTGAAAAATCCTGGGTATGAAACTGTACTTTACTACTATTATAATTAACAGACATTTAATTCTCATTCAAAATTAACAATTATTATCTAATTATTGAGGTAAAAACCTAGGCATTTTGAATGATACTATTATACTGTTACCTGAATCCATCAATGGGTTCTTGACAGTAAACACTTCACACTTTGTAATTTACTTAAATAACAATAATTTGGCAGGTCACAAACCCCTTAATGTAATTCAAGGGTGATCATTATTTAAACATAATAGCTATTCGTGAATAATTTAGTTTCGAAAATATTATTTTGATATTCTCACGAGAAATGAAAATACGAAATACGAGAACAAAATATAAAAAGTTATTATAATATTTATATTATATTATTAGGTATAATATTTAATGTTAGAAGTACAGAGCAATATTATAATTTATTATGAAAGACGAAAATTAAAAACACTCGAACCAGAGGCCGAAAACTTCATACGGTGAGTTCGGTTATCCGACGTGGTCACCCTGCGAGCTCTGGTATCAGCCACGGACCAAGTCCGTGGTATCAGCCATGACGAATACCAAAATAATAAATAATAATAATATTGTTGTTTACTATTATTTATTATTCAACTTTGCGACGGTCGAATATTGATTAGTCATTCTCATTGTAAGGTGTTCGCGAAAAACAAAAACAACTTAACCGGTTGTATGGTTACAGGTGGGTGAGTCACGCCACAAGTCCATCTCCACATTCTATAATTCTGTGCTATTCTCAAACGGATAATGATAACATAACATTTTGACTTGTATAAAATTCATCGTGCACGTCAATATTGTGTCGCAGTACGACTGAGTTGAAGGTTGTTTCTTGGTTTCGTTCTCGTATTTGTGTATTCTGTGCTGACCCTGAACATTTCAAACTTGTAGTGTACATCACGAGCAAATAACAAATTATTCCTGTAAGTATGATGTATTGTGTTACGACCCGACTGATGTCGTTATACCTGTGTCAACGCAGAAATGAATACTTGATGTACTAGGTTATGATGAGTGTTTATTTGACAAAGTACAAAATTACAATATAATAATTTACGGTGGAGAAAGAGTGGTGTTACGACCCTAGTGTAGAATTTCAACTTTGAGTGGTGTTACGACCTGTCTCTAAGCGTCCCTATAAACAGTCCAACCGTTAGGCGTTAGCTCAACCCATACTGTATAACCGTCTGAAGAGCTCTTGTCATGGGCTCGTATATATATATATATATGATCGAGTCCTTTGGAGTGGGTGGTCGTAGTAGTGGCCAAATTCGGTCATGAGACAGAATTCGGGTCTTGTACTTGGTATGCTGGTCGACTCGTATCCTTCGTATGAGTGTTGACTTTCCCGGGGAGATACGTATGACGAAACTTTTATAGTTAAACTGTTTTATACTACGCTTTTGCAATGACCTCCGTGGGTTATAATATACTAATAGCCTTATTAATTATATTGTCAAATACTATTAGAAACGTACTCTATGCTGTACATAGTTAATACATAGTTAATTAATACATAGGTACATAACAATTGTCTGGTCTTTGATTTTGTTCGGAAAAGAAAATCAGATTTTCTTCTAAAAACCACTATTGACATCTAGGGACCTGTCGTAATGCGTAAATGTTTTCGATTTAATATTAACCAACTTAATTTTACTTTTATTGAAATCCACTAAATAAAGAAATAGTCTCAAATTTTATGAAATCTAAAATGTTGTCTTATTATTGTTATTTGAAACCTTTTGTTTGAAAAGAAAAATCTAGTAAAATAGGTATTAAGTTATAAATTCTTATGATAAGTACAGGTACAGGTACAAGTATAAAAAAAACTTTTTTTAAATATTCTCATTTATAAAGACCATAATGTTATAACCATAATTTAAACTAAACAAATATTAGGTAGGTAAACTTGATTCATTTAAATAATAAAGAAAATATTTTTTTAATTTTTTCTATATAATATGTAATTAGAATGTACCAAATCATTAAACAAAATATGTAGTCATGATCTTCAAAAAGTAAATGCGAGCACTTTTTTAATTGTGCAGTGTGCTACACATTATTATTTTTCAAATTAAATAATTTCTCGTAGCTTATAAAGTCATAAAGATCAATTATTATAGGTACACAATTATTTAGCACTAAGGCAAGTAATGTTTATTAAGAGGACCCATTGGACGGTTTTTGTATTATTTTCATTAGGTTTTATAATTCAATCAATGTTATAGTTATTCTTATTATAAGCACTATATTTGATTAAATATACATCAGTGGTGTAGTCCTTTGCATCATTTCAAATGTGTAACTAATCAAAATATTGATTTTTTTTCTATTACATTTTTTTTTAATAAAAATTTGACTAAGCTGACAGTTGTAAATTTAGTCTGGTCATTTCGATTTTCTATAGTAACAGTTGAGTAATATTTTTTCCGACTAGATACTTCAATTGGTTTTTGGTTTATGCACTATAATAAATAAATAATTTTTTTTATATATTCAATATTAATAAATATAAAAGATTCCTCGTTCTTGGAACCTCTTTTCTCCTGATGTATACAACAGTGTATTATGTAGATTTAAGAAGACCCCACAAAAATGTATGGTTTAAAAATTGTCATAACTTGCCTCTTAATAAGAAATAATTAAATCAATAAAAACCTCCAAGATGCCCTAGAATTATTCTCTGGGGCCTAGATTATAAACTTACATTTAAATGTTATCATGGGTCAATTCAATCTAACTTTAAATATAACAGAGTAAAATGTATTAGGTGAATGTAAAATTTACCTTGTACATTTGTGGCATCCTCTTAACAAAACAAATTGTGTTTTTCTAATGCATGGTTTTATTATTATTTTTAGGAATTTTGAATATTGTAGGTATTGACGGTTTAAACAGTGCCTATGATGGAGTCAGAATTAAAAAATCAGAATGACCTATTGGAGCAATTAAAATCTTTACGCTCCGAAAAAGAGTTATTAGAAAAACATGTATTTGTACTCAATGAGTGTTTATCTGTAGAAGAATTAAAAACTAAAATATCTAGTCTGGAAAAAAAGAAAGAGATGTTAGTATCATTAGAAGGTGTAATTGGAAGATTACGTTCTGAGATTGAGCCTCTAAAGTATTTGAAATCCGTTTTAAAAACTAAATTAGGTGATGAGAGTAAAATTCAATCAAATAATATTGGGTCTGAGTCAGTTGAAGAAACTTTGGAAGCACGTGCTGAGAGTAAACTGCGAAAACAAATAAATGCTGTATTGAAATACCATTCAGATTTTGAAAATAATACTCAATCAAATGTTGGCTCAGAATGTTGTATTGATACTGGATTTTATGTTCCTAAAATTGATTTCAAATTATATAACGATTCATCTGTTGATGTACAACCTAAGTCTACTCATTCGGGCAATTTTAAATTGGATATTTACCCAAAGTTAAAGGATGTTAATCTCATTGATGCATTCCAAAAACCAATTCCATCTAAATCTAATTCAGTTTCAACTGTAAATGATGGCAGTCTTGATGAATGTATGCAACTGTTGGATCAATATGATGTAGTTACTGATCAAGAAATATTAAATTTCCCTACAGAAGAAGTCAGTATAGTTTTATATTTTTTTAACAGTTTGAAAATTTAAGTTTTAACATTTTTTTTTACAGAATGATTTGAAAAGTCAAAGAGTCGACAAAGAGCCTACTAATCTTATTGATATTGAAAATAAAATACAGGATGCACAAATAAAAACAATAGAAACTCATTATTTTGATGCTGACAGCAAAATAAAATTTAAAAGTCAAGTACCTATAAAAGTAAAGTTTTTTTTTGTCCATCACTGTTTTAAAAAAATGTTTGTAATTGTAAAACATTTTTATTTTTAACATTATATTTATCAAAATATTGTTTCTATTATTTATAGAAAGATATAGAACAATTTTAAAATATATGTTATAATATTTTATTTTTACAGAATGATTTTAAAAGTCAAAGTGGTGACCAAGAGCCTACTAATAATATTGGTATTGAAAATAAAATACAAGATGCACAAAAAGACACAGCAGTAATTTATTGTTTTGATGCTGATGGCAAAATAAAATCTAAAAGCCAAGTACCTATAAAAGTAAAGTGTTTTTTGTCCATCACTATTTAAAAGAAATGTTTGTTATCGAAATGCTTTTTTATTTTTTAACATTATATTTATCAAAATATTATTTGTATTTTTTATAGAAAGATTTAGAATTGTGTTCGAACAGCTCTGTTAATCCTGTCTCTGCAACATTTGAAAATGCGAGTAGTAAACTTCACGAGGCTAGTACATCTCAACCAACTCTAAACAAAGAAAGTTTATGTTCAGATTCCAATGTTAGCATTGGTGATCTGTTACTAAAAATACCACATTTGTTATTGCAACAAGGAATCGATTATATTCAAGTTAGTCCATATTATTAAGTATTTCATATTAATTTATCATTTTACATTTACCCAGACTTTTTATTTTTAAAACAAGTAGTTAATAAATAAACCATTTACCTTTTACATATCCTCAATTAAGTAAATTTTTATGTAAAAAAAAACAGCTTTTCTAAAATAAACCAATCAAACAAATTTAAAATAAATATTATTTGTTGTCAGTGTAATTTCAATTTTATTCTATAATAATTAATATTTGTTATCAAATTTTACAGGATGAAGAAGACGTGAATCAGTCTTTGAAAAATGTAAATGTTAGTACAGACATATCATCAAAAGAGCATAATAAACTCAACAAGAAAAATAAATTCGAAAAAGAATTTAATAAATTGGTTAATGACTGTACAAATGTATTGCTAAACAGTTCACAAGTATGGTGTCTATTTTTAAATTTATCTTATTTTTAAACATGGTTTTTTTTTTAACAGACAACAGAAAAGACTAACGTATCCCCTAAACAAACAGAATCAGGTCAATATGATGAATTGCCGCCTAATGTCAGTAATTCTGAATGCAGCATTAATAGCTTCAATGATATGAATTTAAAAATTGATATCTTGCGCGGCATATACTCTCTTGGTTTTGTCAATCCAACTGCTTTACAAAAACGCATTGTTGTGCACTCCATAAATGGGCGAGACATAATAGTTTTTGCTGGACCAGGTAATGGTAGAACAATGATGTTTACCATACCATTACTGCAACGTATTAAAACCAATTTAAATGAGTGTCAAGCATTAGTGTTAGTACCAACCAGAGACCTTGCCGTACATATTCAAAAGGTATGCTAAGCATGGATTTTCATAGCTATTTTGGTGTTTTTTTACTAACCATATCTAAAATTTAAATTAAATAGCTAAATCAAATTAATTTAAATAAAATACCATTAGTATCATCGGAACTCAATGCACTTAAAAAGTACTAGATATGCATGCATGTGTGCACTTAAGAAATTACAAATATGTACTATTTAAATTTTTAACTAAAAATTATCATAATTACGAATATATCATTTTTAATGAACACTTATTAATAAAATCTGAAAATGCTATGTCAACTAGGGATTTGAAAAACATGTTACCTTAATACATAGTAAAAACTGTCAAAATAAATATACATTATTATATATTTATTTTTTCATTTATAATTATCTTTAACTATAAAATATATCAAAAATGGTAAAATTAAAAAATATGCTCTTAAAGCCACATAATAAATAAATATGATAAAATACGAGTATGTACTATAAACTTTTAATATTTTTTCTTAGTGTCGTGAAATTAATTTCAACCTTACTTAACAATTAACCTAATAACCCCCAAAAAAAACATTCAAAGCAACAACTTCAGAGCCCTAAACTTATATATGTTATTTTTACATCAATGCTACCAAAAATATATTCTACATTACATCAAGAAAGATAAAAATATTGGTTATCACTTATCATTGATTGAATTCAAATTAGAAATTAGTTAATTTTTTTATATTCATATACAGAGTGATTTGATAAGCATACTCACCCATGAAATTATTCAAATTTTGATTTGACTTATTTTGAAATTCTTGATTTTGTTTGTTGTACTAATTAAGGAGTGTTCTGACCAAAACAAACATCAGTTTTCAAATAGATACCCCCTTTTTTACTGTAAATTATTTAGTAGGTATTTTTTTTGAAAATGTTGATGTACTCAATTTAAATTTCAAACGAGTAGTTTCTTAGTTGTTAAGATAATTATAGAAACTATTTGTTTGAACTTTGATTCTGATGTAAAATCTTTCAGAAAAATTACCTACTAAATAAATTTCAGTGAAAAAGGAGGGTTCTCATTTGAAAAACAGAAGTTAGAGTCTTCACAAAAAATATCAAGAGTTAGAATAATTTAATTATTAAATGAAAAAGCTGGGATAAGCATGATTGGTGAATCACCTTATTTTTATATAAATATAGTGTAGGTGTTTTAAGAACTATTATAATTACAGAATATTTAACTATACTAAATACAGTTTAGTTTTACTTTTATTACTTATTATTTGATGATTTATTTCTTAATTTAGATCATTATGAGTGTAGGCGACTTTTTGGGTGTTAATGTGTGTATTGGTGGTGACAATGTTCCAAGAAAACTATCTGTTGTTCCACATGTAGTCGTCGGTACCCCAGCTGGAGTGTCCAATATGATTTCATGCAAATCTCTACGTACTGGAAGCATTCAAACAGTTGTAATCAACAAAGCTGAGAAGATGTTAACTAGTAATTGTACCATATTAATTGAAGAAATAATGAAAAAAATAACAAGAACCAGACAAGTCACTTTACTGACATCAGATAAACTTGACCATGTATTAGACATTTACATGGAATCCTTACGTGATCCACTGGTTATTATTAATGACCAAGAAAAAGAATATGATCTGCTAAAAAGTATGTCACCACAAATAAATGTGTATTAATATTTATAAATTTAAAATGTCGTAAGCCTATCTTATTTCTCAATATATGTTTCATTAATACTCATCAATTTGTTTTGTTTTAATCTTAGATCTTCCAAAACAGTTTTATTTAAACATTCAAAAGGAATGGAAAGTGAATGCACTTTGTGAAATTAACGAAACATTGAAAATACAGAGATCTATTATCTTCTGCAACACTTTGGATAGAGCTCAAAAACTATGCGAGTCATTACAAAGATTGGAATATGCTGTATCACTTTTTCATTTAGAAATGAATGCACATGACCGCGAGCAAAAACTTGATATGTTTTCTTCTAACAATTTAAAAATGCTCATCACCACAGATCCAATCAAAGGCAGCCAGTTTCAGCAAGCCTCTTGGATAATAAATTATGATTTACCTATAAATCCTATTTGTTATCTAGATAGAGTGGCCAAATGTGCCGAAAATATAAAAGTGATAAATCTCATTGATGAGGATGACGACCAAATAAAATTGGCAATTGAAACACACAACAAATCTTATATGATTCAGATGCCTCTGAATATGATTGATTTGTTACAATATTAGACTCTTATAATGATTATATTATTTTTAGAATTGAGTAGTATAATATTCATTACTATGATAAATAATAGAATATACATATTATTATTATATTCTACTATTAAAATTAAACTATTCACATAATAACTTTTCTAGGAAATGGGTTTCATTATTTTATTGTTACTTAAATTTAATTTTTATGGCACTTAAGGGAGGTTTTTAAAGTTGTATTATTTTTATTTTTTATTTTTTATATAATTTTGACTATTTGTGATTGATTTATGAGTGATAGAATAAAATTAGAATGTTTTCAAAAAATTATTTTGAAAATTAAAATCTATATTATCTTAATATGTATCTTGATAATTATTTATATATTCTTTTGATAATTATTTATAATATTTTATTAAGTTATCAAAAATGTTCTGTTACTGCTGTATTACTAATGTAATAGGCTTTTAAACTAATATTTTAATGTATTAAGGCTCGTGACACAGATTCAAATTCTAAAAACAGTCACTGAGGGCGACTGCAGGTGCAATTTGTACAATCTACCCTGTGGTTATCACACCATGTTTTAGGTATTGTCTGTTTTCAGAAGATTTTTATGTTTAACGAAATTCGGTAGATGATAACAAAAATTCATTAATAATTGTTATTGTATCAAATATTTGTACCATTGATATCATTTTAACTGTTTGGTCAAAATTAATATACTTAAATGAATATGCACCTAGGTACTATGTACTTATACTATGAGTATAAGTATACTATAAAAAATAAAAATAATAATTAGCTGGTATACCTATATCAATAATATTCCTATGATTGCTACATATCATCTGAAATGAAAATGCAACGTTATTTACCCATTTCGATATCTCCTGAGATAACTAATAAATATAGGTAATATAATAAATCTGTTTTATTTTTTTATTTTTTTATTACTTACAGAGAAAGGACCACTTATATTTTTGAAAATGTTGACCTTTCAACATTTTATTTTCATTAATCTCATGATTTGTAATCATTATTTTAGTTTATAATTAAAATGGCAAAAAACCAGTTTTTGTCCGGGTGGCGAGTCCCCCTCTACGGCTAATGGTATATCCAAACGGGACATTCTGTAATAGGTACCTTTTAAAAAGAAACACTTTTGGAAACTTATAATTGAAAAATTGTATCGGGATGGATAGGTAGATAATAGAATATAGATATTATTTTAGAAGTAGAATAAAACGTACATTCGAAGGTAAATAAATATGAGAGAGTATAATAGGTATATTTAAAATAAATTGGGCATACCCCTTAATGTTTTTTAGTAAATTATCGTATTTTACTGTGAATACGTTTTTAGGTAAAAGAAGCTCACCCAAATTGTACACATTAAAAAAGTTTTATACTGAGCGTGAATGTAAGCGATCGTTTTTATTTTATCAAAACTAGGTAGTATAGGTACCTACCTATTATTATTTTTCTGAAATTTTAAATTCTGCATTAAAATAATGAAAGCGGTGAAGGATTATAGATCGGTTTTGTAGGTAATCAAAATATTAAATAGGTACTTAATAAAATTAACTTATTTCAAAAATTAAACGTACATGGGAAAAGAATCACTAGAAACATTCAAACATGTGTAGGTATTTGTAAAAAATGAACTACTTATCTGTTGAGGAATTAAATTATAAAATATTCAAACTGGTGAAAAAATTGTTGGTTTCATTGGAAGATGATGATAATGATAAAGAACTGAAATTGAGCAGCCAAAGGTGAAATTTATTTTGGAAAACTGTTAAGTATAAGAATTGGGAGTACCTACAATTTAAACATAGGATATTAGCCTAATATTATTAGGTCAAAAATTCCGAAACTGGAATGGTTGCAAGGTAAATGTTTTTATATTTAATAATATGGTATTTCTGATACATCTGTTGATATTTTACAACCTGTTGGGTTTAAAACTTTTCTTTTCAAAGTATACAAAACATTACTACTGATTCGGTCAAAACTGATTTGGTTTTGTCACCAAAGTTTTGTGATGAACGCACTTTGGCACATTTCAAATAATCAAATAGGTACAATCTAACAATTATTAATATAATATCAATTTAGTATAATCGTATCACATGGATAGTTAACTTCCATTACAATTTAAAGTCAGGATATTTCTGACATTTTTATAGTGGTGTAAAATGACGAGTGTCATACTCATAATAATATATTGTAAATCATTTTTAAAAGCAAAGATAGTTTAACATTATAAATATACCATTACATATTTACATCAGAGTCAAATTTTCCGCCAATACCAAGCATGCAAATAAGAATACAAATAAAAATACCCAAATCATTTTCTAATAAATTATAAGTACCTAATTAGTTATTATGCAGGTACTTATTTCAAAACAATACTATGGGTTTTTTTTTATTTTAGTCAGCTATGGGTATATTAGTAGGTACCTATATCATGTAATTTCGTTATGATTTTATCGAATCTTTTATTGGCAGATCACACGATTAGGTACATATGACGTGCTACTCATTAGTCTTCAGCTTTCACGCATTTCATAATAATTCATATAGGTAAACCTACTTTAGTATTAGATTCTGAGCAGAGCGATGGATGTATTGATTTTACAATGATGTGTGTTTTTTTTAAAGAAAATTTTTTATTTTTTTATTTTGTATCTGTCATCACGTCTTAGGACAGTAAAAGTGCTTGGATTTTCTTCAACAGTGAAAATTTCCCAGTAGTTTTCAAAAAATTAAGGAAAAACGAGAATTTTTACACTAAAATCTGTTTTTGAAAAAATCGATTTTGGTTTATGGTGCAACTCTTAAACAAATCACATAGAAATGTACATGAAATTTTGACTGAATGTTTATATTAGCATTTTCTATACACCTTAACATTTTCAAAATTTTGAACTGTTTACGGACATTTTCAGTTTTCAATTTTTTTAGTTTTTTATTCTATAAATATCAATAAAGTTTTATCTGTTGAGCCAAAAAGTGTAAAAAAAAATACAAGGCTCCTGATATATTGTTACAATACCAATTGAAAAATATTAAAAATACATAGGCACAATTTTTTTTTATAAGCATTTAAAGATCAAATGTTGACAAAATTTATCAAATTTAAGATTGAATAATTATTTTGTAGTTAAAAATGTATAAAATGTTCAACTTTTATATCTAAGGGTTGAAAATTTAAAACAAGATTCCACGTAATGGTAGTTATAATTCTGTTACCAATAATCTAAAAAAATACATAAGCACAGTTTATTTTTATAGTCATTTTAAGTTCAACTTTGGACAAAATTACATAAAAAATTGTGATTGTGTAAGATTATTCGTGGGTACTTGAAACTTCTAAAGTACACTATTATATATCTATGGAGTATGGACTATGATAGTATCAGGGTTTGTTGTTGACGTATAACGCATTGTTAGTACCTAGCTAATGGATATTGTGATATGATTAATTTGGAATTTATTATTTGTACATATTTTAGGTATTTTTTTTTTTAATACGATAGATGAGTGCCATATATAATATGTCTTATACCTAGACTGACATACCGTCTCCGGTCAGAATCGTTTTTCTTATACAATGATATTATATCATTGAATTCAAAATTAACAATGGATGGCATGGCATAATAATTATTCAGTGACCTCCTTGTAGCCTACTGTACAGAATACAGCAGAGCAACTTTTAGATTCTGAGTGGAACGCTGAATGTATTGATTTTACAATGATGTGTGTTTTTTTTTTTTTTTCATTTTTTTTTGTGTCTGTCATCACGTTTTAGGACAGTAAAAGTGCTTGGATTTTCTTTAACAGTAGCTTTTCTGATAGGAAAGTGGATCTAGTTGGTACTTTGGGGTGTCAAAAGTGAAAATTCCCCAGTAATTTTCAAAAGCGGAGTGAAAAACAAAAAAAAATTAAGGAAAAACTGGAATTTTTACGCTAAAATCGGTTTTCGAAAAAATCGATTTTGGTTTTTGGTGCAACTCTTATACAAATGACCGTAGGTACATGAAATGTTGACTGAATGTTTATATTAGCATTTTCTATACACGATAACATTTTCAAAATGTTTTGATTTATTTTGAACTGTTTAGGCATATTTTCATTTTCCATTTTTTAGATTCTGAGTGAAACGATGAATGTATTGATTTTACAATGATGTGTGTTTTTTTTTTTTATTTTTGTGTCTGTCATCACGTTTTAGGACAGTAAAAGTGCTTTGATTTTCTTCATCAGTAGCTTTTCTGATAGGAAAGTGAATCTAGTTGGTACTTTGGGGGGTCAAAAGTATAAATTTCCCAGTAGTTTTCACAAGCGCCGGGAAAAACAACATAGAAATTAAGGAAAAACAGGAATTTTTACGCAAAATTGGTTTTCCAAAAAATCGATTTTGGTTTTTGGTGTAACTCTGAAACAAATGAACGTATATACATGAAATTTTCACTGGTTGTTTATATTTGCATTTTCTATACACGATAACATTTTCAAAATATTTTGATTTATTTTGAACTGTTTAGGGACATTTTAATTTTCCATTTTTTTTAGTTTTTTTTCTAAAAATATCAATAAAATTTTATTTGTTGGTTGCGAAAGCTTGAAAATTTAATAGAAGACTCCTAATATATTGTTTCAAAGGCAGATGAAAAATATTAAAAATCCTTAGTCACAATTTTTTTTTATAAGCATTTAAAGTTCAAAAATTGACAACATATGGGAAAATCACGAAAATTAGCAAATTATTTTGAGTTAAGAATTCGTAAAAATTTTTCTTTTTAAATCTAAGATTTGAAAATTAAACACAAGATTCCTTATAAGATTATCTACCTTTATCAAAAGAAAAAAGTCTATAAGAAAGTCAAATTAAATTTTTATGAGCGTTTGAAATTCAAATTTTTACAACATTGAATATTCACTCGATTTCCCATGTAGCGATTTCCTTATTTTGTTGTAATTCAAAAACGAATAACTGTAGATACATGAAAATTTCACTG